ATATAGGCGCATCATTGCCGTTGTCATCCGATAAACGAAGGGAAGGCATTTCGTTCCAAATACGAACATCAGCCGGACGGATCGGCCAGTTTCGACTCGCGTGAGGTGCAGTTGAACGTCGATAAGAATAACACGAATGTTTGCCTTGTAATTACGCTGAGACGACGATCCATCAGAAGAGGCGGTCACGAAATATTTCCACTACGGACGAGTCTGTAACCACTTCACCATTCTTGTCTCGTTATGCATAACGATGAAAAATTGCGTGAGACTATCGTGATCGTAGTCTCATTGCGGTTTTCCATATGCTTTTCTATTGCGTTATATTTTAGTGCCACTATCATTGCTTACGATAATGATTCAACTGATCAGTTATGTACTTTAAAAATAAGAGATATAGTTGAACAGCGCGTTACATATTACATTATGACACGCATTCATTTACATTTATTGCATTTTTGACGATCAAAGAGCGTTTTACGTAATTACGGTAAAAAATATTTAATATATCCTTTATAAAATTAAAATTGTACGTGGCATATAAATTGTTTAATAATTTCAAATTTATGATATAGTTTGTAATAATAATATAATGACATAATGAATAAATTATAAATATTATCAAATATTACATTATTATTAAATTAAAACATCACGAGAATAGAACTAATTTAATAATATAATTAATATTGTAATTAATCAACAATTAATATTGTAATGTTATAAATTTAACTCTTCGGTGGACACTATATTTTTGTCACAAGTGTAATGCATGGATATTGTACAAAAATATCGAATAAAAATGAATATATTGTAATAAACTTTTTTCCATCAAAATGCCATTAAGAATATATTTAAGAAATATATTAAATGTATGTCCATTCCTACCACTGTAGTTTAATTTTAATCTCGGTTCAATTCTTCATTTTTTTCTAAGTCTAAGAATTAAAAAAAAAATGAAGAGTAAATTGAGATTAATCTGTATTGGTAAAACCGAACATTACTATCTTTAAGGAAGTTATAATAGGGTTATCTTCGTGTCTCTAATACATCGTTAAATGCCAACGTTTCGTAAACGTTGCAGTTCACTTCATCAGGGCGATATTGTATCAAGTTACTTGCTATGATGAAGTGAACTACAACGTTCACGAAACGTTGGCATTTAACGATGTATCAAGACAGAGATTACCCGTCAAACGCGTAACTCCCTCGATGAAAAAACCAGTGGAAGTTTTAATTATTATATGATGTATTATATGTGCTCTTATATATATATATATATATATTAATAAAAAAGTTGTAGCATATAAAATAAAATTAGAGTGTACAATACTGAGAGTGGCACAAAAGAGCCACTTAATAATTTAATTTATGCCTGTTTCTACCAACGTAGTTTAACTTGAATCTCTGTTGAACTATATAACTCTTCATCTTTTTCTAGTTCTACGAAAAAAGAAAAAGATAAAGAATATAAATTGAATCGAGATTAAAATTAATCTATGTTGATAGAAACAGGCATTAATGATACAAATTTTATATTCAAGAGGCAAAACAGTGTGAAATAGAGGAAAATTTGCGCGCATGTGACGCGAGATAAGCTTGCATGCGAACGTTTATATTAATTAACGTCACCCTTGCTTGAGGATAGCAATCGCACAGAGTGCTCCACCTTCGTTACATTGTGGCTAATACATAAACACGTAACAGTTTGTAATCGCGCGACAACGTGCGCTTCCCAATCGATCTATCCTGTGTACATATGCATCGGCGATACACGCGATCGATTCGATTTGTAATAGTGGATCATTGTGTACTTTGTAACGATGCATGCGAAACAACGGGATGCGTCATTAAAAAGCGGCGTGACGTTTTTTTTCTTCCTCTCACATGGGATGGTTTTTTCTCCCCCAAGCAAAGGGTGTGATGTTTTCATGCAATTATTGAGTGTACAATTTGAATCAAGAACGCTCGAGTAAAATTTGTTGGGTAAAATAAAGATGGAACCGATCCCAAGTAATAAAGTGACGTTCAACTCGACTTCAAGTAATAAAGTGACGTCATATGATGTCTCAATAATGGGTGCATTTAGTACTACAGCCGTTCAATGAGCGCTCAGTGAGTGTTTGCATTTTATTGGCATATTCCGTTAGAACTAAAAATATAGATCAAACAGATACAAGAGCTCACTGAGCGCTCAGTGAGCGATTGGCTGCGTTCAGCAGAACATTTGTTTTGCAACTGTTGGAAGTTTCCTTCGCGCTAATTGGATCATACTTTTAGATCTAGAAGAATGGTCCTATCTCAGCAGACAATCATAAAACGGTTGCAAAACTGTTGAGTCTGCTGAACGCAGCCATTG